ATCCCAAGAGGGTGAAAGAGTGTGTCACCCATGCTGCGCCTGGGTTGGGACCAGTAGGTCATGCCAGCACAGGGTAGCCACAATCTCTCCCACCCACTCTCCGGGCTTGGGCTAGGACTGGATCTGGGGATCCGGGAATGCAGCAGAAATTCCTACTGGGCAGGTAGGGTAGGGGAGGTGCTGTGGAGTGTTGGAGGGGTATCCCAATGGGGTGCGAGGGTCTCACCCATGCTGCACCTGGCCTGGGACAAGTAGGTCCCGCAGGCGCAGGGTAGCTGGTAGCTCTCCCACACACTCACTGTGCCTGGGCTAGGACTGGGTCTAGGGGTTCCTGGGACACGGCAGAAATTCCTACCCTGCGGGCAGGGTAGGGGATGTGCTGCGGAGTGGTGGGGGGTATCCCAAGGGGATGGCAGAGGGTCTCACCAACACTGCACCTGGGCTGGGACCAGTAGGTCCCGCCAGCGCAGGGTAGGCGGAAGCTCTCCCACACATTCACCGGGCCTGGGCTAGGACTGCATCTAGCCTGATCTTTTTAAAAAAATAATTTTATTGAGAAAAAAATAGCAATGAGACAGTTTCAAAACTGATTAGTAGGATAGTTTCAATAATTAATACATTGCATATTGTTGTCTTAGTGGTTATTCATCATCTAAGATGCAGACGTGATATTCTGTCAACAAACACTATTAGAACAAATTTTTCTATTCATTGAATTAAGAGAAAGTAGCTGTATACCTATCCTAACTATTTTGAATATGCAGATACAAAATGGTCATTCATGTATAGCCCCTTTTTTAGTTTTGTCAGAGAAGGGCATTCCATTGTCATTTAAATATTGTTGGTATGTGGATTCAGCAAAGTATTCCAATATAGTCCAATAGTCCATAATAGTAGTGGGTCATCCATAAGACTGGCAATGTCAGAAATTGTTGACTTGAGCCTTTTACAGCTCAACATATTAATATGGTTTTACTTTTTATACTTCATTTTTATACTTTTTTTTGCTGGATGGTTAAGACCAAGATAAAGCAAGACCTATATAACAAGAAATGTAACTTTTGTATCTGACAAGGTCAGTCAAATCTCCTCAGGATTTATCCTGAAACCTTGTACCACAGTTTGTAGATCCTGTGTCAGTGTCAGACATGTGAATGGGTCATGGCCATTGCTTGACCAATTTACTCTCTGTGAAAGCCTGAGAGAATCTTTTCTCTCCATGTGACTCTCCTGATGAACACTCTACATCATCTCCTTAGGCACACCACTTTCTTCTGTGGCTCCATAATCTCCTTGATCAGAAAATTTGGGACACAACTGAGTTACATGATGTTACAATACAGGTTCTTCTATGTCCTGAGTCTTCACTGACCTTGAAAGGCGAGGGCCAAAATGTTAGCTGTACTTGAAGCTCTTCTTTTTCTCTAATTTTTGGTCTGCCAACTGAGGTTGTTAACCCTTCACAAGAGAAGCTTAGTATTACCCTACAACATAGGCAGTTGAGCTTAACCTCACTATCTGTCTGAGTACCAAACATCTTAGACATAACATGGAACAGGTGTTTTCCATCAAATATTGATATGTTAAACTTTGAGTCCCTACAGAATATGAAGAAAAAAATTAAAATTTGAAAAATTAAGAAATTAAAAAACAGGAATAAACAATTGCATATTTTTACGCAGAAATTTAAAAATCCAACCATATACAGCATTGTAGTAGGAGAGTCCTCTGACATTTTTTTTGTTGTTGTTTTCTCTTGTTTTCATCCAGAAAGCATTTCTATCAGTCTTCTGGTCTGAACTCTGACCAGAATCCTCCCTACAGAATAGCTGAGGCTGTTCCAGCGCTTCTTTGTAGGAAACATCTCCAAACCTTTCCTATCTCTTCCCATAAGCCATTCCCAAAAGCTTGTAATCCACATGGTCAGGTTTAGTCACAGCAACGACCCCACTCCTGGTAACAAATTCTGTCTTAATTACTCTTCTCTTGTTGCTGAGACAAATACCTAATACTCAAAATGAGGGAAGCAAAGGTTTATTTAGCTCACAGTGACTGGAGGTTTCAAGATACTGGAGGAGAGGGTGGGGCCCTTCTGTGTCCAGGATGATCCTTTCCACCTCTCTGAGAAAGCACAGGCTACTCAGTTTAATAATTCCAACCTCTCTGGCCCTGCCCCTCATGCCTGCCCTGTTTCTCTGGCCTCGCCCCTCAAGCTACTTGTTGCTCCTCCAGCTACATCTACCCCATAACTTACATGAGGCTTTGGGGGGGACAATGAGACACAAACCAAATTCATTCTCTCTCTCTCTCTCTCTCTCTCTCTCTCTCTCTCTCTCTCTTCCTCTCTCTCTTCTTTCTTTTTTTTTTCAGAACCAGGGATTAAATTCAGGCCCTTGTGCTTGCCAGGCAAGTGCTTGCTCTGCTGAGTCATCCCCCTGGCCCTACACACAAACCAAATTCTACATTAGTTACTCTTCTTTTGTTTCTAGGACAAATACCCAACACTCAAAATGAGAGAAGGAAAGGTTTATTTAGCTCACAGTTACTGGAGGTTTCAAGACACTGGAGGAGAGGCTGGGGTGCCACTGTGTCCAGGGTGACCCTCTCCACACCTCTCAGAAAGCACAAGCTAACCAGTTTGACAGTTCTTGCCTCTCTGGCCCCACCCTGGTCCTCTGGCCCCGCCCCTCAAACTACTTATTGCTCCTCCAGCCATGTCCACTCCATAACTTACGTGAGACCTTGGGGGGACTACTAGACACAAACCATAACAGTGAGACATAGGGATTGAACCATCTGCATTTGGATAGCCAGTAGCATGAGTAACAAACTATGTCAGCTCCTGTTTTTATAGAGGATTAGTATCTGGAATATATAAAGAAACTAAAATATAGCCTCTAATAAACAAATGATCCAACTCAAAGTGGGCAATAGACCTTTCTTTGAAGAAAAATTGCAAATTGTCAATAATGCATGCAAACATGTTCAACATCTTTAGCCATTAAAGCAATGCAAATGGATACAACTCTTGATTCTGTCTTACTGTGATCCGGATGGCTATCATCAAAACACAAAAGCAACAAATACTATTGAAAATGCAAGGGGAAAAGAACCTTCTACATTTTTGTTAGAAATGTAAAATAGCATAATGACTGTGGAAATCAGTGGTTCCTCAACTAGAGATTCCTCAAAATACTACAAGGAGGAATTCCGTGTGATTCACTGTATCTCTTCTGGGCTTATTCCTGGAAGAGCTGAAGTCACCACACTATGTGATACATGCACACCCAAGTTGAAAGTAGCACAAATTACAGCAATTAAGCTCTGAAAACAGTCTGGATGCCAAAAAGAGGCAAGTGGAGAAAGGAAATGTGGTGTCTGCACATAGTGGGAATTTATTCACTCATAAAGAAGAATGAATTCATGTCTTTTGGAGGCAAGTGAATGGAACATGAACACACAATGCTAACTGGAATAAGTCAAATATGGAAAGTTAAGTATCATAGAAATGCAGAATATCAATAAATAACAGTAAAATAAAGGCAAAATGGTAGGAAAGAAGAAGGCAGACTTTCTGGAGACAGAAAAGGGGATCAGGGACGGGAGGACAAGGAGAGGCTGGTGACAGGGACAGTGAAGTGATAATAGTCAAGATATGCTGTGTACTGTTACCCAGAATGAAAGTGGATGTTCTATATGAAAACATACAGCACTGACGAGGTGGAGCTTCCTCTTAGCAGAGCTGGTGGTCTTAGAAGCATGTGGTGAGGAGTGGGTCGTGCTCTGCACCATTCCGGGATTGGGGGGTGCCAAATACCATGGGAAAGAAGCATGTGTGGGCACAAATACGCAGCGATGTAGGTTTGTTAGGTGGAATGATAATGGTGAAGCAGTGTGGGCTGGGGCTGGGCAGCTGTGAGAAGTTTTCTATGGAACAATTTTGGAAAGGCCAAAGGATAGCAAATTAGAGTCATGTGTTTTGTGGCATTATGGCTAGTAGTTAAACCAAATTCCTTGGTTGGTTTATAAACATGTTTCCCCCTATGTTTTAATTAACAAAAGTTTAGATTTTGTTTTGTTTAATTAAGCACTAATAATGGGATACATCAGTTGCATATTCTTGTTTTAAAAAAAATTCACCCAAATAATTACTAATTAAGTGTTAAATTTGTGCAAGTTATATTTGCAAAATTGATTTAATTTATATATTTGTCACTATTCCAAAACATCTTGGGGCTGGGGAGATGGCTCAGTGGAATAAGTGCTTCTCTGGCAAACACAAGGACCTGAGTTCAATCCCTGATTCTGCCAAACAAACAAACAAACAAACAAACAAATAAAAAATGAAAATATCTTACCAATAGGATTGCATATGTTAATGATTCACCCTTGGCTTCTTTTTACTACTTTATAAAATCTTATAAACCAGGTAATCCATTTAAGTTAATTGTTAAAAATATTTGGATTTTGAATACAAGTAGCTACAATTTTGCTGATTTTATGCCATTTCCCCTTGGTCCCAATCCAAAAGATAAAATAGAATCTATATTAAAGATATGTTTAATGAAATGGAATTTGTATTTCAGTCCACAGGTATGTGATACTTGTTCTAGTCATGTGTAATTGATTATACTCCCTTATTAAACTTGATTAGTAGTTTTAAAATAAGGAAAGCCAGAAATTGATTTAAATACTGTTACTTGGCTTATCTATTTAAGCACATTGTTTTTCTAGCATAGCTAGTGATTAATTCCTTGGTGACCTATTTTTCATATTTTAGCAATCTCCATTGGAATACAACATGAAGCTAAAGACAAAAGCTCACGGTCTAGGTGTGGGAGAATTTCATGAGTAACCCTTGACACAAACCAGAGGCAGATTTCTACCAGACTGGCACAAAATACTTTTACATGTCTCAAAAGCTAACCACAGTCTTAGGCTACTTGTTACGCTGTACTTTACTGTTAGAATTTTTATTTGTTTACATGTTATATTGACAGGTTGCTTCAGAGATGGGCAACATTATGAAGAAGGATCAGTAATTAAAGAAAACTGCAACTCCTGGTAATGAATTTAATGAACACTGGCACTTCTAGAATTGAATTAAACTGTGGCTCATGGTTTTTTCAAATAAAAACAATACCAGTGAAACAAAATATATATTTAAATACATGCAGACAGAACTGTAGAAGACATCACAGAGTTGTAAATTTTTATAAGCAAGATGGAAGGGTCTAGAAAATGATCATTTATATATCTTTTAAAGCTTCAGTTTGATGTCTTGCTATTGAGTCTTCAATACACTGCAGGCCTACATCAAGTATATTAATGTTAAACTCTGCAGGCAAGTCATGTGGGTCCTGAGTTTCTTGGCACAGTACTGTGCATAAGAGCAGGCTGCTTTAAAAGGATCAGCTTATGGACAGCATTCGAATGCAGTGAGCTGCTTCTAAATTGCCCTATTTTATGACATTTCAAAGGATATGGAGTTGCATCATTCACTGATGGCCTGAAGCAGAGGACAGGGGTGCATGAGTGACAGCTAGTGCATGTTTTATGATGATTTATTTTCACACGAATCAAATAGCTGTATGGCTCATATTAATCAAGAAATCATGTTTTGTAACTTAACAATGTGCAGCTCTTGTTCCTAATTTTGAAATGTACCCTTCAGAAGAACAGGCTGCTCTTCTAATTTTGGTATCTTTGCAGCACGTGCTCAGCACAGCAGTGGACATGTTCCCAGCATGCGTGCCTTGTTCGTCCAGAATTAATTGAACACATCAACCAAGGGGACTATGGGTAAGGATGTCTTGCAGTGCAGACTCTCAGCATTCCTGGCTGGGTGTCACTTACTCCTAACAATGGCCGATACTTAAAGCATGGGGGAGAAGTGGGAAGGGAGACAAAAGGTGTATAAATGTGGAATGTAACAGGGAAACACAAAATAATTAAATACTAAAATTCATACATAAACAGAGATCTAGAGCCTAGTCTTCAGTTATCAAGAAAGATCAGTGTCGTGGTGTGGGTGAGGAGGGTGGACGGAACTGTACACTGAAACAGGAAGCAGGCAAAGCTGGTTTGGTCATGGTACACGTTTTCTCTCTGTTGCTTCCTTACTGGAGCAACCATGCATTCAGTTCCCCGGAGCAGAAAACTGCCTTAATAGGGCAGCAACCTGCCCTGATGATCTCCCAAGTAACAAGTCAGTCTAGACAAAGTCACTGAAGGGACTGATATTCACACAGTTTCATCTATGGCTACGCCAAAAGATACGTTGAGTCACTTGACTAGCGATCTAAAGGGATTGTCAAGACACTTGTACACTGGCTGTACCTTCTTGCTGCTGTCCTGTAGGTTAGGAAAATGGGCAGATTCTCCTCTTTCACAGAGGGGACTCAGTTGTGGGGAGCAGCACTTGCTTTGTCCGAGGCCCCGACAGGGGAGCCAGGGGAGCCTAAGACCTGCTGGGATCTCTGCACTGCGCTTGATCAAATCTCTATCTAACTTGACAATGTTTTCTGGACTCTGGAAAAGAGTTCCTACAAGGAGCTTTGTTGTCAATCAACTGAAAAAGTGAAATAATCCTGAGATGTATCTTTTAAATAGCAGTGTCATTTCCTTCCACACATAAGATGTTATATTCCTTAGCAAGGTGAGAATGCTAAATTTCACTCTATCCAAGGTATTTTCTTGGAAGACACAAAATAGGGAAAGTCATATTTGTTGACATTAATAATCTGAAATCATTCTCATTTCCTCATGTGAGCACATTTTACCAATATTTTAGGATATAATTTGATTACATTTATATATTCCTAGGGCAAAAAAAAAAACAGTTGTAAACTTCTGTGGCTAAATGAATTTTTAATCATTCAAAGAACATGAGTCTCAAAAAATTAACCTAGTCAGGCTCTAAAAAGATCAAATGCTGAGCCCAATTAATTCTCACTTCCAACAAGCCGTGGTAGACTGGCTTGCCTTCCACGGTTACAAAATACACAAGAAGACACTGTGGTTTAAAACCTGTGAGAGAAGGGACATTTAGGGCACAGAAGTTGTTGGGGGCTCTCGGAAAGAATAGTCTTTCCATCAATTGTGCATCTTGAACCAGGTGTGCACTATCTAGGAGGCATGAGCTCTGTGTTTCAGAGCAAATACTAAAGGATTACATGATCTTGCAAACATAAAGATGAGAAATATAATTAGAATGAAAGAAAACATACACCAACCAAGTAGAAAAAGTTAAAAGAAACAAGCCATGAAAAAAAAAAAAGAAACAAAAGCAAAATTATTTCTAGGGAACAAAAGAAAGAAATCCTTCCTTTAAAACAAATAAATAAATAAAAAACACAAAATGAACAAAAAACCTTTTACTCTTCCATTACTGTCTACTCATGAGGCTCAAATTGTTTTTATACTGTATCATTCAACATTTATTAAATACTTCGAAAAATAGCCCACATATAAACATATACTGTTTGCAGCATTCTCCACATCTTGGTATTTTGCACTGAGTCTTTATTCTGTATAATGTGCCGAAGTGCTTAGGGTTCCCTGTGTTATTTCTCAAGGCAAGTGACTAGCACTAATAAAACATGCGGTCCACTGTGGCACTGCTGTGCATTCAGATCGTGTCTGTCTTGCAGGCATCTATCTTGAGCTTGAGGCCCCAACATGTCAGGCCCTTGCGAAAGGATTTCTAATGTAGGGCAGAGTGGATGGTCAGATTCCTGGCCTCAGTAATAATCAGTAATTTAATGAACTAAGAGGAGACTGAAAATTATCTCCTTTAACTGCTGCTGTGTAACAAACCACTGCAGAGTTGAGCTCTGTACAGCCACGGGCTTTTCACTGTTCTGTCAGGAATTGGGTGGATGCTGTAAGGCTCCTGCTGAGCTCCTTTGGCTTGCACGTGGGTCTTCAGGCCTCCGGAGCCTGGGCAGAGGCTGGTCTCCGCCCTGCGGGTTGGGTGGGGCTGGGAGTTACTCCACTGCAGTCTTCAGGTAGGGCCACGGGTAACATAGAGGTGCACACTAGCAAGGGGTCTTTTGCCTAGGCATCACACTGCACCACAAGATCTTTTTCTTTGTTTGGGGCCAAATGAGTTTCTGTGAGTGTCAGTCTACCTTTGGAGATGGGGAGATAGAAGTTCAACTTGTGGTGGAAAGAGATACCAATAATTTGTGGCCATTTTTAATTTATCACATTTCTAAACACGATTTTTCTTATAAACTCAAAATTTAGTTCATGAATAAATTGGCTTTAATTTCCCACTGGGTTTTCCGGCTAGGCATGCCCCAAGCTTCCGGGCATACTAGTGTCTACCTTTGGTCTCTGGCGCCTGCTTCCCCCTCACCAAGCCGGAAAAACTGCAGTTACTTTTATTCTCGGCTCCTTTTGTTTATTCTCTATGCTGAGCCCAGAGCATCTCTTAGACTTTTGCTTCCTCTTTGTCTAGACTCGGTCCTAGCGCATGCCCTTCGCTGGTCTAGTCTGAAATGCCCCGGTGTGTTTCTCTGCTCAGGCCCACTTGGTTGTCATTCCAAGACCTACAAGGCTATCTGGCCCAAATGTTTGTTTTTCTTTTCACTATATTTTTACACTTTTGTCAGCATCTGTGTTCCTGTCCCTTTATAATTTAAGCATGTCCCTTGGCCTGCCACTTGCGGTATGTGTCTAATTCTAAGCCTGCATGCTTTATTCTCATTGCCTTTGTGCTTAATAAGTGGCGTCGCTTTCACCTTTGGTCACCGAACTCATTCTTTTGCCTTCAGACTAAGCATTAAATTTATTTTATGTATAAATATGCCAATTCTTCAAGGCAGAGCTATGCTTGAGCTCCCTGCTCTGATTGTGTTTTGCCCTCTTACTAATAAAGGCTGCACAGCAGTCATTCACCTCTGAAGTCTTTGTTAGGTGCGGACACCCCAGGGTAGAGAAATGTATTTGCTCCCACGTCCCAGTGTTCACCAGAGATGATGGTAGGTAAGTTCAGAAAGCTCAATGAATGCTGTGTTGGACTACAAGCCCGCACCGAAGCTAGCGCACGGGGATGGTGTCAGATGACTGTGACCTCTGCGCTTTCTGGACATAAATCTCAGTAAGAACATCTGACCTCAGTGTCTGTGGTGTGTGACACAGCGTGTGTTTAAGTAAAATGAAATGAATAGACTGAACACTCCATTGCCCTTCAACCCTTCAAAACACCCCTGCCCATTTGAACTCAGGTCCCACTAGTCTTGCCATTTCTTCTTCTTCTTCTCCTCCTCCTCCTCCTCCTCCTCCTCCTCCTCCTTCTTCTTCTTCTATCCAGGGATTGAACTCAGGCCCTTGCACTTGCCAGGCAAGCACTTATTCTACTGAGCTATCTCTCTGGTCCAGTCTCGCCATTTCTGAAGCAGTTCTTTTTCCATGAATGTCTTCACTGTGATGTCTCAAATTGATTCAAAAAGTTTAACTTTCGTGGTCACTTTTGAGTCCGAGGAAGAGGCAGAATTTGTGCTATGCAGGCTCGGGAATGCACACGTTAGATGCGTAAGCACGACAGCTACTCTCACTAAGTTCTAATCATTCCTATTTCTCTTCTGTTCTATTTGCTTAACGTGTGCATTCCTGCACCTTAAATTGAGTGCCTAAACGGCCCAGACATCTCTGCTGATGGTGCAGACAGTAAGTGTAAGACGTCAGCAATAAACTTAACGGATCACATAATTTTTCCCAAGCTGAATATGGCTAGTTTGTCAAATAATACTACAATGTCTAATAAGATTGGAATTTTCTCATTGAAATTCTTTGGGCGATGGCGGTTACACTTCAAAATTGCAGCTGAAAGTTATTTAAGATTTTATGAACTTAAAGATTTTTTGACAAGAAAGCATTAACTCACCGTGCGTATTGGAAATTGAGGTTTATTCCTTGGCATTTGTAAGAGCCTATCACACCAGAAATAAGTTTGATGATAAACACAACAGTGTGAAATTCACACTTGATTTAAGCACTGACTATACACTGCCGTCAGGCTGGAGAGCATCTAAGTGAACAGGGACTGTTTACTTCCCTCTTTCTCATTGTTCATCTGTTGTCTTATATTAAAGAAATTTTATCTTTATTTCAATATTGAATTTTGAAAACATTATGTTTGTCCAAATAAGAGTACAAGCCATCTCTAGAAAAATATGCACTTTTATTACTTGACTTCACCACTTGAGTATATTATTACTAATAACTCATTCTTAAGCACTTTTAAGTGACACATTTGGTCATTTAGTATAAGATAAACTATTTCAATATTTAACTATCACTAACTTAAGTGTAATTATTCTGTCCTTAGTATTTCCAATGCATTTCTTTCCACTTTTTGACTTTTTCAAGTCTAAAATTTTTACTCTTGCAATTCAAAAAAATATTAACAGCATTAATCCAAAAATAGATTTCTATATATTCACCCTTCCTTCTAGAATATGCTGAGGAACATGTAGGACACTTTGTGCTTCAGCATTACCACCACCAAGTGCCGGCACAGTATGTGCAAACTAAGATTGCATATTCTCAGTTTCAGCCTACACTGGCATAGCCTCAGGGCTTGCATCTGAGTTATTAAAAATGGAATAAATGTAGGAAAAATGTCTCATATGTTCTATTGCTGGAATAAGCAAAATATGCCATTTATACAAAGACTGTCCGGCTTGCAAGAACCATTCTTGCATTGCGAGATCCGCCGTCACATAACTGGAGGCAGGTACAAAAACTTGCATCTGTGAGCATACTGCACATAACCCGTCTCTCTCTCCCTCTTCCATGTGTGGGGCAGATGGACAGCACACAACTACACTCAGTTCTGGGGCATGACTCTGGAGGACGGCTTCACGCTCCGCCTGGGTACCTCGCCCCCGAGTGCCGCACTCCTGGGCATGAATGAAGTGACGGTAGGTCCTCCTGGCTGGGCGCATGTCTGTGTATGGGTGTGCACCTGTGTGCTGAAAGAAATCTAAAATAACTAAAAGCATGAGTTTTGAACTTTCAGGGTCTTGAAAATGTAAAACTTTGTAATAGAAACATGAAATTCCTTTACCAAAGTGATTCCTCATAGACCCCTCACAGGTTTCATGCAGAATTTGAATGTTCACTACTTTCAATTAGAATGTCTTTTAAATAGTGATTGAATGTTCCTTTCTTTTGGCAATGATTCTGATGACTGGCTGCTGAGTGTGCCAATGTTTTGGCAGACTGAGTCTTTATTTTCATTTTTGTAATATATTTTGTGAATTCATCAGAAGTGTTTTGATGTCAGGCTGTCTGTTATCACATGAGATGAAATAAATACTGGCAATTTCACACACGCATGCCATCATGCTTAAGGAAATGGTCATTCTTAAAAATCTTCAACATTCATTCAGAGAGTGCCTTTAGATTTGCCTGGTGACATGGTAGACTGCTGTGAAATGACTTCGAGCTTCCTAATGTTCTTACAGTTGGTTCTATTATATTGGCTTTCTCTTTCATTTGTGAAAAGCTACTAGCATCTGGTAGTAGGCATCTCGTGTACAGAAGCTCCTAGCTCTTTGGTAACCACAAGGCTGACCCACACAGCTGCAGCTTCCTACCAGCTGTGGTGCTTCACAGGCCGTACACGGAGTTTGGGTGGTGGAGCTGGTAACGTCCCAGTCCCAGGCTGGTTACTAGTTTCAGGGCACACCGGGGCTCCCTGTCTGCCAGCGGGCAGGCTCTCCAGTCTGCAGGGCAGATATCAGAAGCCCTTAGCAGCATAGGACGGCAAGGGCACTGCTTGCCGCTGGATGAGTGGCAAGCCTATTGGTGTTCCATTAAGATGTTATCTGAGTTCAGCTTTCTAAAAATGTAAGCACTTGGGTTAATATGTCAACTCAAGTTCTAGTAGAGGGGCTGCTAACCCATAATTAGTAGCAGAGAAGATTATAACTGACATTATCGAGTAGTTGGGTGTCAAGCAATAAACACATTCATAGTGAAGTATCTCATTCAATCCCATAGCAGCTTGGTGTACCACATCCCATCATTACCTAGATTTCATGGCATTTTATATTTTGGTACTGGGAATTGAACTCAGGACCTTGATCTTGTCAGGCAGGCACTGTGCCTCTGAGCTATATCCCTAGTCTCATCACCTGCTTACCTGGATTTTAAAGGAAAGTAAATTAAGATTGCAAGAGATTAAGTCACACTGAGATTGAAAGAGGTTATGAACTAGCACAGAATTCATTAAATCACAGACCTAGTGCACCTCTAAAGCTCATATTCCAAAAGTTTTGAGAATTTCAGTGGAGTCTGCTGGACTTGCCTGATACAGATTCAAAGTCACAAGAAGTTAATCTTTTAACGAGAGCTAATTTTCTGAAATGCTGAGTTTAGAGATTTTGGGGAGTGTTTCCTACAATCAGTAGTATAAAATCTTCACAGATGAGACTCTGCTTTGTGGTTTTTGATGCATGATTCAGAGTCCTTTCTTTCCCTGCAGTTTTCTTTCAGTCTACAGCTGAGTGGAGATGGGGAGAAGAAGCACTATTTAAGAAAATACTTGAGCTGTGTAAGGACTGGTTTTCTCTCTTTTTCTGAGAGGCATAGTGAGCTAAACACTTACTTGGAGGTTTGCATGCAGTCCCTCAGGATTAGTTCTAACACTAGTTTTAAACTTTAATGTTTTTCAGCTTAAGATGACTTACACAAGGGCAGGAGAGATAGCTCAGTAGAATAAGCACTGCCTGGCAAGTGCAGGGTCCTTAGTTCTATCCCCTGTACTGCAACAGCAAAAACAAAAGCAGAACTAAAACAACAAAAAACCAAAGATGACCCACATAAGCAAGGAAGGCACATTGTTTCCTCATGTTGGTACTTGCACCAGCACACCAAAGAAAATCCACTGCTAAGTCACTTAATGGTTCCTGGAGATTTGTTTACATAAAAGTCTCTGCCATAATATTGAAATGAAATTTCCTAAAGATTAACCAATTATTAATATAAGTTAAGTTTAAGTTGCTTGCTGGTACGAGTTGATGTAACACAGTTGCCAAGTAATTTTAAGAAAGTAGTAGGAAAAACACAGCAGAACCGTGAACTCCACACCCCTGGTGCCAGGCAGGGAGCCAGGCCCTTCATTCTGGACACCACTTGAGGACTCAGCATCTGAGTGTCAGAGCTGCTTTATTTATTTTATTTTTTTAATAATTGCATTGAGAAACAAATAGCAATGACATAGTTTCAAAACCGATTAGTAGGACAATTTCAATAATGAATGCATTGCATATTGTTGTCTTAGTGCTTATTCATTGTACAAGATGCAGACATGATATCCTGTCCACAAACAGTATTAGAACAATTTTTTCTATTCATTGCATTAAGAGAAAGTAGCTGCATATCTATCTATCCTAACTATTTTGAATATACAGATACAAAATAGTCGTTCATTTGTATCACCATTTTTGTTTAGTTTTGTCAGAGAAGGTATTCCACTGTCATTTAAATATTGTAGGGACATGAATTCAGAAAAGTATTCCAATATAGCCCAGTAGTCCATAACAGTAGTGGGTTATCCATTTTGTAGGAATGGCAATGTCAGAAGTTGTTGACTTGAGCCTTTTACAGCTCAGCATATTAATATGGCTTTACATTTTATACTTTGTTTTTATATTTTTCTACTGGGTGGTTAAGACCAAGATAAGGCAAGATCTATATAACAAGAAATATAGCTTTTGTATCTGATGTCAGTCAAGTCCCCTCAGGATTTATCCTGAGATCCTGTACCACAGTTTGTAGATCCTTTGTTAGTGTCAGTCATGTGGATGAGTCACAACCATTGCTTGACCAATTTGCTCTATGTGAAATCCTGAGAGAATATTTTCTCTCTGTGTGACTCTCCTTAGGCACACTCTATGCCATTGATCACATTCTTCTGTGTCCCCATAATCTCCTTGATCAGAAAATTTGGGACACAACTAAGTTACATGATGTTACAGTGCAGGTTCTCCTATGTCCTGAGTCTTCACTAACCTTGAAAGGCTAGGGCCAAAATGTTGGCTGTACTTGCAGCCCTTCTTTTTCTTTAACTTTTGGTCTGCAAACTTAGGTTGTTAACCCTCCAGAAGTTTATTATTATTACCCTACAACATAGGCAGTTTAGAGATAAGAGGAATAAGAATAGGTAAAGAAGAAGTTAAATTATCTTTATTTGCAGAGGACATGATACTGTACTTGGAAGACCCAAAAAACTCCACCAAGAAGCTACTAGAATTTATACACAAATTCAGTAGCATAGCAGGATACAGTTAATACCTGAAAGTTAATAGCATTCCTCTATACAGATAACAAACACACTGAAAGGGAAATTAGAGAATCAGTACCTTTTACAATATCACGGAGGAAAATGAAATACCTTGGAATTAATCTAACTAAAGAAGTCAAAGATCTTTTCAAGGAAAATTACAGTATTCTGAAAAAAGAGATTGTAGAGGATTTCAGAAAATGGAAAGATATTCCCTGCTCCTGGATAAGAAGAACTAACATTGTGAAGATGGCCATACTCCCAAAATTGCTGTACAGATTTAATGCAATCCCTATCAAACTACCATGAACATACCTCACAGACCTACAGAAATCATTCCTAAAATTTATTTGGAACCAGAATCGCAAAGGCAATCCTGGGCAACAAAGACACGGCAGGAGGAATTACAATTCTTGACTTGAAATTATACTACAAAGCTGCTGTCATAAAATCACCATGGTACCGGCAACATAAGAGACCTGAGGATCAGAGCTGCTTTAAGATCTGGGCCAAGAAAAGAGAATCAGAATTATGATGACAGGCACTCTTGGAACTACAAGGCTGGTGACTTGAGAGGCAGTGACCTAGCAACCAAGAAGCAGTGAGCAGGGGCTCCCCAGTGGCCTTACACAGCTCAAGCAGGACCTAGTCCCCTGCCTCAAAGGGCAGGGAAAATGATTTTCCTCTCTTTCACCCACTTACAAAATTTCAGCAAAGGGTGGACTGAAAGCGTAGCGGGAGTATGCTGTGGCCAACACGGTGTGACCCGCAGTGTGCTCCTAGCTCTGCGGCACCCTACGCCCGTTCTCTCCCTTTTCTGGCTTGGATGAGAATTAAGGAACTCTGGGTACAAAAAAATGAGTAATGACTTCTCCCTGATTCTTGGAAAGTGCTCTGCTCGCCAGGCTGATTTCCTGGGCACATTGCTTCACTTAGGTCATGATGGCCTTAATGTGCCTGCTGAGCTGGTTAGAGAGCTCTCTACAGGTGCTGTCGAAGATTTCTGTGGCCACACCAATGTGAGGATGCTCTTTAACTTAGATGATGTAGTTCACCCAAACACACGTTTAAGGAGCGTGATCAGTAACCATTAGGAACAGCATGGGGGCACTGGGAAAAGTCCTTAGGGACTTAGGGGAGGCCTTTTGCGGGTGGTGACCCAAGGTGAAGACAGCAAAAGGAAGCGTGTGGGAGACATGCAGGTTGGGTGAGAGGAATTTGAAGAAAGGAAGAGAGAAAGAAGGCTGAGAATGTCCTGCAGTTCTCTGGTGAAAAATTGAGAGGAGGGCCCCAGCTGGCGAACTCAGCCCTGCAGACAGAAGGCCTGGCAGACAGCAGGTCCCTGTGGGTCACCTAGGAAAGCAGCACCTGGGCAGACTGTGCTGTGCCATGGCACGGGTGCAGCCAGGGCAGCAGGACTCTACCTCTGCCCGCATACCCTGTGAGGGCCAGTGGGCAGAGCCCGATGTCTTCTCAGTGGACAGAGTCATGAAGCCACAGATCAGATTTTCCTTCTGGATGCCCACAAATCCAGGCTTGTACTGCATACACTGAGCAGTTTTATTCTATTAGCTTTATTTCTCCAGTGCTAATAGAATAAGTTTATAAGATTATAGATTATAGTTTATAAGA